CTGTATAAAGTCTATGAGTTTAAGTTAAAAAGATTTTAATATTGAGTCGTAAGCAAGAAAAGTTTGTAAGCAGTAAAAATAAGCTAAAATTTGTCTGGTCTTATCCGATATCTTGAACCAGATATATAATAAATTATTTAAACTGTACAATAATTGATAGCAAAATAAATTTTAAAATTTAGTAATTTAAAAACAACGCGGTGTGGACATCCCAATATAAATATATTATAAAACTTGTTAAATGATTATTTTTATCTAGATAATAAATTACAGTTTTAAACTATTATAATTTATTTAAATTTTATTATAATCTAGGCAAATGTTTACCACGCTTATCAAATGATACACGCTCACGGCATACCTGATGAAAATATCATTGTTTTTCATTACGATGACCTGGCTGACAATCCTAATAACCCTTACCCTGGTACGGTAATAAACCTACCTGGTGGACCCGACGTTTATAAGGGTGTACCCAAGACTTATACTAAAGCTGATGTGACTCCTGAGGTATTTAAAAATGTATAACATTATAAATAAAATATTAATTTTCAAATTGATCTTGGACAGAATTTTTTGGCTGCCCTTAGTGGGGATGAGAAACTGGAAAAGTCTGGCAAAAAAGTGGTCAAAAGTGGACCCAACGATCGCATATTTGTTTTCTTACAGGACCATGGTGGTAAACGTATGTGAATTTATTTAATTTAATTACCTAGATATAAAATTGTATTCAATTTATTATACATAATGTTATAAAATATAATTCTATAGAGACTGTAATGTTTCCAAACGGTGTACTACACGCCCAGGACTTGAATAACGTGTTGATTGATATGCATAAGCAAAATAAGTTCAAGGAAATGACCTTTTACCTCGAGTCGTGTTATTCAGGTATGTGAGCAGTGTACATTTACTAACAACATTTAAAATACTGAATATTAAATTTCGATTAAAATTATATTACCTACACATCATAGGCTCTATGTTTGACAAACTACTACCTAATAACATTAATATATACGCGGTAACCACCTCTCGACCTGACCAGTTAGCTTGGTTCTGTTGCTACGACTCTAAATGGGGAACTGAGCTAGGTACAAATTAAATATTTGCAATCTAATAATATTTGTAATTTATAATATTTTTGTTTTTATAGCCACTGATTTTGCTAAAGCATGGCTTAATAATAGCGATCACAGCGATTTGAGCAAGGAACTTTTATCGGAACAATTTGAATTCATTTACAAGTACCAGGGTAATGAGGAGGCTATGCAATACGGAGACTTATCCATTGTAAAGGAAACTGTTGGCACTTATATGGGTAATACAGCATTATTATTAAACATGCTAGCTAATTATGACATTATTATATCTATAATATTGTAAATAATCTTATACAAGGTAATAAAAAAGTACCAAGTAAACCCCCAGTGCAAACAGCGTGCAAGTCGGTACCGGTACCTGAAGCACCGGTACATAGATTACAAGAGCTAATAACAAGTTCAAATGATATTGACCTGAAGCAAAGGTAATGTTAAATGTTTTTTGTTTTGTTTTTGTAAAATATGTTTTCAAACTATTTTTATAGATATGTCACAGAATTGGAGGGTTTGTTAAGCCGTCGGAAACTAATGGATAAACAGATCGAGGAATACGTGAATGAATTGCCGGCAATTGACGCCAATATCGCAT